AAAAAAAAAAAACAAAACAATGGCTAAGATGTAAAAGTATATAAAAATGTGTGGAAAATTGATTAATATAAATAAAATTATAAAAAAAATAAAATAAAAAATAAACCATGCCATAGTTGGTAATCACAAAAGTGCTTGGTGTTTTGGTATCAGTGTCAAGGCTATTAGTTTTTGGCTAGCCAACTCTCTTCGTTGTAATTCAGTTGGCTGATTAATTAAACTGATTAAAATGGATATTAAAGGATATTTACTAAAGATAACCTTTGGACCCTGGGATGCCCTGGGAGCAACATGTGGCCATTGCATTACACTTCCCTCATGCCGTTCTGTACTGACAGGCTGCTTCTTTGTGTTTTTAAACAAATATCTTTCTCAACCCTAGCTTGAAAAACCAGGAACAGAACCTAGGACCTTTGCCATGCAAAATGTTTGTCGCAGTTTTCTTCATGTTCAGACATGTCTACAAAAACAATCAGCTAGGGTATTTTCCCATGAGCTTTGCAAGATGTTCCACTGAACCTGTCTGGAATAAGCACCAAGTGAGCACAGCTGGAAACCCATGGTTTTACATTTATCCATGGTATTGCACATATGTTCCAGTGTCCCCCACATCCCAGAGCTGGGATGAGAAAACATCTTATTGTAGTGTGATAAGCAATTGACTATCTCTCCATGGCCTCATTCACACTATGAAATAAGCAGGTGTCAAACCTGGGTTATTTCATAGGTGTTCATAATTTCCCTGACTCAGTGCAGTTTGTGGGGGGGGGGGACTGCCCAAAAACCCACATGATCAGGTGCCTTTTTCCACCAGAACCCTTAGCGGTTCATTTTTAAAGAACCACAATGATCCAATCTCTGACAGTGTGAGTTAACTATTGGATTGATTAGGATTGCACCACCACTGTTCCAGCAATGGAGCTGCCTCCATTTTGATCCAGAATGGTGACGAATATGAACGGCAGCCAGATTTAAATGCCTTGGAGAGATTTGATGGCTTAAAACAGTGAGAACAGAGAATCGATTTTAAATTTATTTACAAATGCGAAACTCTCCATGAATTGAATGTAAATATGAATGAGCCCCATAAATACTATTGTAGAACCTTCATTTTTGTAAAAACAAAACCAAAAAAACCCCTGTAATGTTAGAGACCATCTTGAGGTCTGCAATATGTTTTATTCAGCTAGATGCAAATTGCTTCAGCTTGTGGCAAAATAATCTCTATCCTTGATGTGAACGGCTATTTGATGGGATGATTTTGTTGCACTTGCATAAAACACCTCAGAAAGTTTTTTCTTAAAAAAAAAAGGAGAAGGAAGCAAGCAAGCAGATCAAGGACTAAAAGTTGAGGATCTTCAGGTTAAACTCTGTATTCCTTACTGAAGCAAAAGCAAAACACTTTTCCCAACAATTTCACATTCTTTCATTCCTGGCAATTTATACTAACTAGAAAATATTGGTGGACATTTAACCTGCCAGTTCTCATTTCAGTCACTTTTAACCCACTAACCCAGCTTCATGCTTTAATGGCGTCAGCTGTTTTTCTAGCTGCACTGCACTTTCCCCCTCCCAGCAAATGGAGTGTAGCCTGCAAATCTTTTTAGAACACTGAAACAAAACATATTCAGGTTACTCATGGAGAGCCAAATTGTGGGCCTACATAGGCTCACCACATATTTTCTTTTTCTTTTCACAGCTTTTTGGGCACAGTAACATTTGATGTCACCTCTGGCTCCGAGCCATCAAAGATCGGTGGCTGAATCTCCAACAGCAGATTCAATGGACTTTATCACACAGGGGAAATTGGGGGATTCAAAAGGCATTATCCAGGGACAGTCGCATGATGGCAGCTAAGATTATCACACAATGTTGTGATTAAAGAGGTCTTATTCCAGGAATAACCAGGGAATAACTAGCAACAAATCATTCATGGGGAAATCCTATGTATGATTTGTTGTTGGTTATTTCCTGGTTATTCCAGGGGTAAATCCTCTCTAATTGCGATGTGTGTGATAATCTTAGTGGCGATCACACAACTTTCCCAGGAAAATGCCTGTTTAAACCCCTGATTTTTCTCTGTGTGATAAGTCCAATGAAACTGTAGCCATTTCATACTCTCCAGCGTTTCACAGATGAAAACCAGAATACATGTGGCTAAGCATCATCAGCATGTAGTCAAGATGGAAACTGTTATTAATGAAAAAGAACACATAAGCTAGGAGAGATTGCAGCAGTTCACTTTTACCTGATCCTCCTGGAAGGGTAAGATTCTCCTCCTTCCACACCTCAATCCCCAGCTCAATTAATTGAGTACAAATTACTTTTGCACTTTGAACTCAGTTTGCAGCATATGAAGTAAGTCAAGGATAAAGGAGGAAGTGGGAGAAGAAGAAAAAACTGGGATATTTTAGAACCAGCTGAAAAATGGATTATTAGAGGAATATAGAGAGGCAGTGTGGCATAGTGGTTTGAGTGTTGGGCTAAAACTCTAGAGACCAGGATTCAATTCTCCACTTTGCTATGACACAGGGTCATTCATGGATTCCCACCCAGGCCATCTCTTCCTCTTTTGAAAACCAGCTCCGAACATGTTCATATTACCTCTTGTATGAGCTTGGCTCAACACTGAAACTACTGGAGTAAAAGAAAAATAATTACCATTTGTTTTCAAAATACAGAGGGAAAGCTAGGAACATGATCCAGCCTGCTTTAGAAATGGTTGTCAGAGTTCTTACATTGTGACTGCACTATTTTGGTTTCTAGTGAATCTCTGGCTCAGGATATATAGCAAATGTGGAAGGGTCTCATAACTGTGTTTTAATCAGTGTTGCTTCATTCTTGATTTGTTGATGTTCTCTGCCTTCATCCATGGGGAGATATGGGGAAGAAGAAGAAGAAGAAGAAGAAGAAGAAGAAGAAGAAGAAGAAGAAGAAGAAGAAGAAACATTTTATTCCACACAAGAATGATGAACCCAATTGTAGCTGTTTTCCTAGATTCAGCCACTACCCTACTCTATCATTGCTGACTTTAAAAAAAACAACAGAAGTACAATGAATCTTTCCCTGCTCCTTTGCACACTGACCAAGGAGAAAGCAAAATTGTTGTGCCTGACCAATACTTTAATAGTCCCAGAACCTGCAGATGTTCCTCAGAAATACTTTTCTGTACAGGAGGTAACAGAGAAATGGTGCTAAATTATTTTTTGCAGTGGATGAATGAGTATAATGTGGATTTTGCTGCAGTCACTAAGCGCTTTATTACACAAGCCCCATTTGTGTCACAATCTCACTTATCAATGAAAACATAATTATACCTGTTTGTATTCACCACATCATTGCACATCTTCACAATCACAAAACTGTCACCATCATGCTCCCTTCCTCACAACCCCTTAACCCCACCTCCTTGCCCTATGCCCTACCCAGCATGCCTTCTGGTTTTTAAAAACTTTTTAATTTTTTTAATTTTAATTTTCACTTTTTTGTGCAATTACAGAACTCTGCCACTATGATTTAAGATTTTTTTAAAAAAAAAGAAAGAAAGAAAAGAAGGAGAAAAAATAAATAAAGGTAAGCAGGCTGCTTGGGAATAGTGAGGGGAAGAAGAACCAGGGAGAGGAGGGAACATTGACAGCAAATGACTGCCAATTTACACAACTGCCTTGGTAATGACATGTTGCACCTGGGGACTTGTGTGACTGTGAGCTCATTGACAGATTTCCTCCATCAATGAAAAGGGATGGCCTAATTGTGCTTGGGGATGGAGCAGCTATAAGTTGGAAGTGATATTGTGTGTCAGGTATTGCCAAAACTGCTTTTTGCCGCATCTAATTGTGGTTTAAATGCTGTGTGTAGTAATCTCCTACATGTTTGAAGTAGGAAATGGTGAGAAATCTATTTCAGTGAGGCTGTCACTTTTTAAATATAGCAGTGAATGGATGGAGAGATGGATGAATGGACCAATAAAATGATTGATAAGCATTTAACTGCTATTACAGCATTTGGATTTCAAACAATAAGCAGGCCAGACATGAAACTTCTGTAAATCTTATTCTTTAAAATTAGTTTCAGTTGATCTTCCTCTAAAGCAGGGATGTTGTTGCACTGCAACACCTATCATCATATCCAAACCAACATATCCAATAGTGATGGATACTGAGAATTCAGGAATACATTTTATCTCCTCCTACTTTGCAAAATAAAGGAGCCATTCATATTCCTCTCTAAAAGGCCAAGAAGGTGATCTATTGATAAATGTCCCCTGGAAGGTTGTTTTACACACTTGACTGAAGGTAATTTGCATTCAAGGATTTTCTTTTGGATCATTTTTCTCTCTTAGCTTCACTCCTTGATATTTTGTCTTTAGCTATAAAAGCCGAGGTCTTTTCTAGTAATAACAAAGCCCCATCAAAAGTTGGCTGAGGTGAGTTTCCCAAATATATTTCTTTTAATGCCTCCTATTGAGATGCAGTTCATGAAATAAGACAGGTTGGAACAAGCTGTTGACTCTTTTGACTGAAAGAGACGTAAGTCAGAGGGAAGATGTTATCGTCTGTAGTTCTGATGTAATTAATTTTGAAATTACATCTACCTCCAAAACCAGTCCCAGTAGTTTTGCTGTCAAGAATTAATGGAATTCTGTAAAAATCTTAAGCATTATTTTGTTTTTTCGTCCAAGTTGCAATCAGACTGTGTGCATTTCCCAGGAATTAAGTCTCATTAACTTAGTGTTTGGTTCTGTGAAAACCTGTGCAGGAAAAATTTATAAAGAATATCCAACCTGAGCAAATCCAGGTAGTTTTGGCACTGTGCAAATAACATGTCCATCCCACCCCCAACTATCCTCACAACAATCAGTCCAAACAATACAGGGCCCATTCCCCAATTCTGGTGTAAACTGTCCTGATGACACATGGCTACTTCAGAACTGAGCCCATGTTATACCATGTTTACAATGACTTTTGAAAAACTCACTTTTTGCTCTGGATCTTCCCAGAAAATCTCAAACTCTCCAGAGTAATGCCAAGTGGCTGTTTGCATGAATGACTCACTGTATTGCCCTCTGGCACTATATCTGGCATGATTTGCTCATTCTGAGGTGCCCAGGCATGTGATAGATATGTCAGATCCATATGCATGGTTCTGCCATGGTGATATGATGATATGATGTAATGATAGTAGTAGTACCCCTTCCCACTTATGAAGGACATGTTAGGGATACTGGGTACTGGCCAAATTTTCACCAAATTAGATTTAAGGGATGCCTATTTCTGAGTGTGGATCTGGGAGGGGAATGAGCACAAAAACACATCTAACTGTCCTTTTGTGCATACTTGGTGATGCCATTTGGGTTATCAGGCAATCCAGGTGTGTTTATGCGGCTAGTGAATGAAATTATGCATGACTTGCTGTTTGAAGGAGTCCTGGTTTACCTAGATGATGTGTTGATTTATTCACAAGACCTGGACTCCCTTGTGAAGTTAGAAGGGAGGTACTGAAGCACTCCCTGGACAATCAATTATATGTAAAACTGGCCAAATGCAACTTCCATACCGATCAATTGGATTTCTTGGGATACCATGTGTCCACCCAGGGAATCGAAATGAACCCTGCTAAGGTGCAGATGGTTTAATCCTCTCTGAAAACTCAGAAGCACGTACAAAGCTTCCTGAGGTTTGCAAACTCCTATAGACAGTTGATCCCTGACTTTGCTAAGATAGCTGTGCCCATCATGGATCTCCTAAAAACCAAGACCTACCTGAGGGGCCCCAGCAAGAAACCCAAGCCATTTACTAAGGTTAAATGGACGCTGGAGTGTCAGGAGGCATTTGAGTAATTAAAAGCAGAAGTTTAGCACTGGACCCATCCTGAAACACTTTGACCTAAATCAACCCTTTGTCATACAGGCAGATGCTAGTGATGTTGTATTGGGAGCAGTACTAATGCAGAAAGACTCAAAGGGAGAGCTAGCGTGGTGTGCCAACCTTTCCAAAAATTTCTGGGATTGGAGTTAGACTGGCCCACTTGTGAGAGAGAAGCATTTGCAATCAAATGGGCTCTGCAGAACTCGTGACTTGGAGGGTGTGGCCCATCCCTTTGAGGTCTGGATGGACTATCACAACCTCAAGGCATTGTGGACATCGAAGAAGTTAAGTCCAAAACAGAATAAATGGATCAAGGACTTTTATCGCTTTAAGTTCCAGCTAAAGTTTTTTCCAGGAAAACAAAATGTGTTAGCTGATGCTTTGTCTAGATTACCCCAGCATGAGAGCTGGAGACAAGCTCCGGTAGAGAATATCTTCACCCCAGAACAGGCGGGACTTGCAGTGACCACCTGTAACCAAGCCTGCAAAGAGGAGGAAGACAAAGCTTCCTCTCAGGACATTTTGTTCTGAAGCTTTCGTGAGGTGGTGGGGAAGAACCAGTGGCTTAAAGGGCATCCAGTTGCCCTCATGTTAAAGGATGGACTGTGGTACAAAAGGACCTGTGTCATGACACCAAAGCAACCAGACATTGGAGATTCCTGAGGACCTGACAGTTGATACTGATGGGATGGGATCAAGTGGGATGTTGGTAGGAGGCAAGCCTCAAGGGCTGTTGCAGCCACTGCCCATGCCCTGCATCCCCTGGAGGCTCATAGCTATGGACTTTATACCAGACTTACTGGATAGTAAGGGGCAAAACACCATATGTGTCTTAATGATGTATTTTGTGAGGTGAAAAGGCTTGCCAAGAATAGCCAAGCTGGCCAATTGTTCATTGGACATGTGTACAAATTACACAGGCTGCCCAAGAAGATTATGCATGATCAAGATGGCCAGTTCACTTCACAATTTTGGAAGGCATTGCAGAAACAATTAGGAATTGAGCAGGCAATGAGCACCTCTCATTACCCAGAAATGGATGGAGAATTGGAGAGAATGAATGCTACTCTGGAGCAATACATACATTGTTATGGCAACTATTTGCAGAATGATTGGTTTGACTTATTGCCACATGCCAAAGTTGCTTTCAATGGGGCCATCAACTAGAGTACAGATCATTCGCCATTTGAGATTGTTTATGGCTATGAGCCAAAGACCCTGCCTTCACTGACAACAGAACCTACGGACCCTGCCCAACTTGCTCAGTGGATTACAAAAATCAAAGCTGATTGACCCAAAATTGTGACCACTTTGAGTGAGGCAAAGAAAGACTATAAAAGATATGCTGATTGTAAGAGGGGCAAAGAATGGGACTTGGCACCAGGGAGAAAAGTTTACTTGTCCACTAAACATCTGAAGACCCAACAACCATCTAAGAAACTGGGGCCAAAATATGTGGGATCATTTGTGGTAAAAAGACTGACCAACAAAATGGCTGCAGAGTTAGATTTGCCTAAGTTCTATAGACATCTACATCTGGTATTTCATTTTAGCCTGCTGAAGCCTGGTTTGCCTGTGGACTCCTGGTGGGTGGATTCAGGACCACCTCCACCACTGATGATGGAGAGAGAACAGTACTTTAAAGTAGCTAGGATTT